CCCCATATAGTAATTCATCCCCCCTACAGTAATTCATTTCCCATATTAATTCATCCCTCATATGGTATTTCATCCCCCACAGTACTATTCCCCCCCAAGTAGTAAGCCAAGTCCCCCCTGTGTCAATTCACTTACCTTTGCTCCGCGCGTTCCTCTCGCCGTGTTCCCGAGCCGTTCCGGTCTTCAGGGCGGACTGTGAGAGGAGCCTAGCTCCCCTCCCCTCACGTTCGTCACGCTGCCCCGCCTACACACATCCTGACAGCCACATCCGCGGGCTGGATTAAAAGGTCCGCCGGGCCGTAGTTTGCCCATTTCTGGTCTATGCCCATGTAAGAATTTATGTTTTTCTTAAGCTGGCCATAGCTGGTTTGAATCTCGGCCAGTTCAGCAGGAACCAACAAAGATTCAAACCATCTATGAGCAGGCTGATTGTACCCAAGTTGATTGTTGCATGACTTGGGTACAACCCGCCTGCCAGATTTTCCATGCGTTTATTGCCAGCGGCAATCACATAGGGGAATCGAGTGACTTTCTTTCCTCTAAACCATGGTTGAAGGAAAGAAAAATCACATCATTTAAGGCCAGCTTTAGAAATCTCCTTTTATTTCTACCATCTGTAAGCAGATGCACTGTAATAGTATCAATTTCTTGAAGTTGAACATTAAAAAGTTCTAACCTTGTGATCCAATCTCTGGTATTCCCCTGAATTTGGCCTCCTGCCACCTCTGGAGCGTCTTCCTTCAAGTGCAAAGGCGATGATCTGGAGGAAGAAAGAACCCTAAACAGTGTGTATGCAACACGAGTTAAAAAAAAAATAGCAGTAGGTAGACCCAACCAATATACAGTTTATCAACTATCTATAAATATCATATAGGTCACTAAACATGCGTGAGTTCATGAATGTGCATTAACATGAATCACACAACATGACCAAATATGGTCCTTAGGTAAATATCTAGCCATATACACTCACTGGCCACTTTATTAGGTACATCTGTTCAATTGCTTTGTAACACAAATTGCTAATCAGCCAATCACATGGCAGCAAGTCAATGCATTTAAGCCCCTAGATGTGATGAAGGTGACTTGCTGAAGTTCAAACCGAGCATCAGAACAGAATGGGGAAGAAAGAGGGATTTAAGTGACTTTGAACGTGGCATAGTTGGTGCCAGACGGGCTGGTCTGAGCATTTCAAAAACGGTTGATCTACTGAGATTTTTACCCACAACCATCTCTAGGGTTTACAGAGAATGGTCCGAAAAAGAGAATATATCCAGTAAGTGGCAGTTGTGTGGATGAAAATGCCTTGTTTATGTCAGCGGTGAAAGGGCAGACTAGTTCAGATGACTGAAAGGCAACAGTAACTCAATCACTTGTTACAACCAAGGTATGCAGAATACCATGTCTGAACAACCCGTCGAACCTTGACCACTCCTGTCAGCTAAGAACAGGAAAAGGAGGCTACAATTTGCATAGGCTCACCAAAATTGGACAACAGAAGATTGAAAAAACGTTGCCTGGTCTGATAAGTCTCGATTTTAGCTGAAACATTCAGATGATAGGGTCAGAATTAGGAGTAAACAACATGAAAGCATGGATCCTTCTTGCCTTGTATCAACGATTCAGGCTGGCTGGTGGTATAATGGTGTGGGGATTTTTTTTTTTTACACTTTGGGCCTTTTAGTACCAATTAAGCATCGTTTAAATGCCACGGTCTACCTGAGTATTGTTGCTGACCATGCCCATCCCTTTATGACTACAGTGTACCCATCTTCTGATGGCTATTTCTAGCACGATAATGCACCATGTCACAAAGATCCCAATCCAATAGAGCACCTCTGCCTCCACAGTCACCAGATCTCAATCCAATAGAGCACCTTTGGGATGTGGTGGAAAGGGAGATTCGCATCATGGATGTGCAGCCGACAAATCTGCAGCAACTGCGTGATGCTATCATGTCAATATGGACTAAAATCTCTGAGGAATGTTTCCAACACCTTGTTGAATCTATATGTTAAATAAAATGGTGCAGCGCTAGATACTAGAGCACAGTTTATACACACAATATATATACATGCGTGATATCACTCTAAGGGCGATCAATAAATATAAAAGTTCGATGTAATAGTGCGGATCATGAAAAGATCCTAATTCAAGGTGAGTGGACGTCCTGATCCAAGGTGTGATGATAGGTGTGATCACACAAATAGGTGAAAAACGCACTCACCAGATGTGCGTTTAATATACGCAATATGTAATCCTGCGTCACCAGGCCATAAAACGATCATCAGATCCCAGATCAGATTGTACCCAGATCACCATCCCGGCTCCACGGAAGTAAGGTCATCCGAAACCGCTACCAGGTATCACCACCGGGGTCCTGAGTCCTCCAGATGGGCACTGCGAATGATAGCACTCACAGAGTGCCCAATAAGAGACCTCATAGCGTGATACTGCTTTAGATGCCTCCTTGCTGTTCTTTCACATGCGTTTGTCTGTGCTCAGGTGAGTGCTATCATTCGCAGTGCCCATCTGGAGGACTCAGGACCCCGGTGGTGATACCTGGTAGCGGTTTCGGATGACCTTACTTCCGTGGAGCCGGGATGGTGATCTGGGTACAATCTGATCTGGGATCTGATGATTTTTTTATGGCCTGGTGACGCAGGATTACATATTGCGTATATTAAACGCACATCTGGTGAGTGCGTTTTTCACCTATTTGTGTGATCACACCTATCATCACACCTTGGATCAGGACGTCCACTCACCTTGAATTAGGATCTTTTCATGATCCGCACTATTACATCGAACTTTTATATTTATTGATCACCCTTAGAGTGATATCACGCATGTATATATATTGTGTGTATAAACTGTGCTCTAGTATCTAGCGCTGCACCATTTTATTTAACATATATGTTTGATTGGAGGTTTTATTTGGTTACCTTTTTGGTGTATCAGCTGCTCAGTAACATTCTTTGTATATACACATCTATACACTTTTTGTGTATACACATCTATACACTTTTTGCATTTAAGTCGCGCTCACTATAACATCTTATATTATAATTCTTGTTGAATCTATGCCACAAAGAATTATGGCAGTTCTGAAGGCAAAAGGGGGTACTAGCAAGATGTACCTAATAAAGTGGCCTGTGAGTATGCTTCTAGTGATTTGACTTTCTATGATAACATCTAAACCTAAAAACAAAAATGTAATATATTTCAGCCTACCAGTCCTTAGTTGTGCATTTATTTACTTTTTCAGGCTAAGAACATTTTCAGCAAGTACAAAAAAAAACCTTTTAATCTTGCCAGAAATGAACTGCTTGTCACTTCAAGAAAGCATAAAAGAAGGGGCACAAAGTGTGTTATTCACAGAATTACCAAGTAAAAAAGACTGAAAATAAGAAAACAAATTCCTTCACCTCATCTAAAGACCAGCAAGCTGCAATATAGAAAATTTTTGTTTTTGGATTTAGATGTTTTAAATAAAAATATAAAAGAAGAAATGTAAGAAAAAGTAGCTATGCCAGGTACAGCTTATTGTAGATATGTGACCACTGAACGTTGTCTAAATCTCAATCATTAGTGTCATGGGTCTGGTGGTGTTTTCCCAGGCAGAGCTACTCTGACAGACTGTTTCTGTCTATTTAGAGGCTCTGCCCTCACTAGCCGGGGTTGGGGCATCCATCTAGTCTACGCAGACCCTCTCTCCATTTGCTTTTGTGATATGTCCTACACTGATTTTCTACTGCTGTTTATATCTCATTGCTATGGTTACACCTCTGTTTCTGTCTGCTATAAACTTGCACTGACTCTGCGCCCGTCTGTCTCTGGTTGGTCAACTGGGCAATCCCATGGTATACAAATTGGAACTTTACCACTGAGGCACAAATGACACTTGTGCCTTCATCAGCTGGCAGTGCAGTATACTGGTATATGTGTATTATGAACCTGTACCCAATATCCTGGACACATGTTCCTTCACTGCCCTGGATTTCCTTTAGGCTTTTTTTTATCAAGTCTCTTCACCCAAGCAAGTCCCTAAATACTACCAACAGTTTCCTGCTGCATTTGAAACTCATAAATTAAACTGAGACTGCCAAAGCTTTGCTACATAGGGTTTATTCAATCAAGCTCCATCTACCAGCACTCCTATTCCCAGCCTAATCTGACTTGCCACTAAAAGGGACTGACTGATATTTAGTAAAGGGTTATAAACAGGTAAAACATTTTTCAAGTGTTCTCTTATATGTACTGTATGTGTGTGTGTGTATATATCTATCCATCTATCTATCTCACATATTAGGTTACCTTGCGTTTGTTGTGATATGCAATATACAGCGCAGCCACTAGAATAGCTGAGGTCACAAGATAGGCAAAGAAATGGCTGCTTTGTGATGCGTCCTGGAGGATTGAAGTGTCTTTATTACTGAGGGGTGGGTATTCCTGCTTGCGCAGAGAGTCTGTGTTGTCTTCATCAGCTGTATCCACATTATCCAAATTATCCAATTCAGCATCATCTGTCTCTTCTCTAATATCGTCCTCCTCTTGTTCATCCTCAGCTAATTTCTCATCCTCTCTAGGCTGCTGCTCATCCACTACATCGCTTTCATCATCAGTCTTCACTTCTCCCTCGTCGGGCTTTGCTTCACCCTTTCCCCCCTCGTCGGGCTTCGCTTCACCCTTTGCCCCCTCGTCGGGCTTCGCTTCACCCTTTGCCCCCTCGTCGGGCTTCGCTTCACCCTTTGCCCCCTCGTCGGGCTTCGCTTCACCCTTTGCCCCCTCGTCGGGCTTCGCTTTCACCCTTTGCCCCCTCGTCGGGCTTCGCTTCACCCTTTGCACCCTCGTCGGGCTTCGCTTCACCCTTTGCCCCCTCGTCGGGCTTTCGCTTCACCCTTTGCCCCCTTATCGGCGGGCTTCGCTTCACCCTTTGCATTATCGTCGGGCTTCGCTTCACCTTTTGCACCCTCGTCGGGCTTCGCTTCACCTTTTGCACCCTCGTCGGGCTTTGCTTCTCCCTTTGCATTATCGGCGGGCTTCGCTTCACACCTTTGCATTATCGGCGGGCTTCGCGTTACCTTTGCACCCTCGTCAGGCTTCGCATTACCTTTTGCACCCTCGTCGGGCTTCGTTTCACCCTTTGCACCCTCGTCGGGCTTCGCTTCACCTTTTGCACCCTCGTCGGGCTTCGCTTCACCTTTTGCACCCTCGTCGGGCTTCGCTTCACCTTTTGCACCCTCGTCGGGCTTCGCTTCACCTTTTGCACCCTCGTCGGGCTTCGCTTCACCTTTTGCACCCTCGTCGGGCTTCGCTTCACCTTTTGCACCCTCGTCGGGCTTCGCTTCACCTTTTGCACCCTCGTCGGGCTTCGCTACACCTTTTGCACCCTCGTCGGGCTTCGCTTCAACTTTTGCACCCTCGTCTGGCTTCGCTTCAACTTTTGCACCCTCGTCTAGCTTCGCTTCAACTTTTGCACCCTCGTCGGGCTTCGCTTCAACCTTTTGCACCCTCGTCGGGCTTCGCTTCACCTTTTGCACCCTCGTCGGGCTTCGCTTCACCTTTTGCACCCTCGTCGGGCTTCGCTTCACCTTTTGTATCTTCATTGGGTTTCAGTTCATTCTTTGCACCAGCTTCAGTTTTTGGGATCTGCTTTACATCATCTTCACCCACAGGAGCAGCTAATGGAATATGAAAAAATACATACATATTTTAATCAAGGCTGATAATATCAACATATTGTGCTTCATTTTACAATAACAGTATGTAACACATAACATACCACTTTACAGGGCACCTAAACCCATTTACATCAGAGCTAGATCCATTACACAGAGGACATTGATGAATTAAAGTTTATGACAGGTGCTCCACTTTTACCTAGGCTTCCACTGGATTATAGGGGACCCAGTAATTCATTATTATAATGATTAACTGGAATATTGTTACTTCACAGTTATAAAATAATTACTTTCTTTTTTTTTGATGGGACACAAAGAAGTAATCTCAATACAAACTTTTATTTATTCCCCCGGGGGGTCCTAGCACATAGAGCACTTACTCCTGTTTAAATCCGTCCCTTGGTTGCTAAGCAGCATAGTCAAGCAATTTTGCCTCCAGCTGTCTGATCACAATGGCAGAAAGGAGATAGATTTGTGAGTAAGAGCTCTGGTGACTAGCATTGCCATTCCCAAAGATCAGATTACCTGTGGTACTGTGTACTCTACAGTAACTGTGACTGCATCTTAACATACACAGCCCTAGCCAATAGACCACATAGCACTGCAAAACTGAGGGCTCTTTTACTTCTTTCAATTAGGCGATCAGCACTGGGGGGCTGTACCATACTCAGCACTAGCCTGCTTTGGTGATTGTTCATTAAAAAATGAAAGATTACACAGTGCTGTGGCACTGTATGATCCATAGGCTTGGCTCTCTGTTACTGTGAGAAGGTACAGGCAGCACTTAGCCCTAGTTCCTTCTCTAAGCTGAGTGATCTTTCACTATTATGAACAATTAGCACTTCTTGTTCATTCATATATGTAATCTATCCTTCAGAGCTCTGTGTAATTGATCTGCCAGCGCCCTGTATGTGTACAATCAGCTGGCAGATAGATCACACAGTGATCTGTCAATAGTAGGAATGAATATTAGCACTGCTTGTTCATGTATAATACTAAATGATCACTCAGAGCTGCAGGTATATTATGTGCATTTGGTTTCTGGGAAAGAAACAAAAACGTAAAAACCAATGATGCATCCCCAGCCAGGAAATTCCTGTTATTACCCATATATGGCAATGGCATTATTTGGTCAATGATGTCAGCCAGCATCCCTGGTCTCTTCTCCGCAAATCAGCTAATGGCCAGGAAATCACCAGCTACTTAAAGGGGTCAGGGATAAATCACTGTCAAATGAAGAGTAGTAATAACAACCTCCTGCACTTAGGTGTGGTGCTAAAGGTATGCTGCACTTTCTGCTTGACTGGCTTGTAGGTATGACACTGGAGGTCTTGAAGCCCTCACAGGACAATAGGCGTCCTCACATGTACTGCTAAGGACAAAAAAAAAAAAAGGCACACTGACCTAGCACATTGTCAAGATAACAATTTATTTAACAAAGTATTCTATTCACAAAATGCATGACATAGATTAGCATGTAAAAGAATGCAAACTACACCACCTCTAGGTCCATGGTACACCAGTACAATGGTGTGGGAAGCCTTCACAGCGTCCTATGACTTATGCTTTTTGAGCGCTGAGTCCTCTTCTTCAGAGCCCCAAAAAATGAATCACTAATTGTTAGTCAACCCAGTAGCCCTGAACTGGAACGGTCACGTTCATGCCAGCTTCCCAACACATACGTTCTCCACTCTGAGCATTGGCGTCCCTCTGTATGACAACTCAGTGTTGATCTTAAAGGATAGATCCCTTTCATGAGAAAAAATATTGCAAACAAAAATATAAAATAATATAGCATTTACAATTGTAAGTCATATTGTAATTTATTAAAAATGTTGCCACTTTCCTTTTTAAACTGCGGCACTGCAATTTTCTGTCTTGCTTGAGGTGATTGTAGCCGTATTAGTGCACTTGCGACAAACAACTGAGTACTGTCCGTGAAACTTTTTTTAATTTGCGCTAAAATACATTTTTCAGGACAAGCTTTCAGGATGTACCTTATTCTTCAAGGTCCAAGCAGTACTAATACACAAAGTTTTAGCAGAATGTTAAAGTGAGACAATCTGTCTTTTTGTAGTTTGTTTTATTTCTTCTCAAAGATAGTTTTACTTTAACCGTTTCCGTGCCACCCTATAGAAGAAATACTGCTACAGGGCGGCACGGGTGTGCAAAATCACACTATATATATATATATATATATATATATATATATATATATATATACACACACACACACACACACACACACACATATGTGTGTGTGTGTATGTATGTATGTATATGATTTTGCTGTTCCGGACTACCTAGCGATCTCCAAGGATTTCCAACAGGGGGAGAGACCTGTATGTAAACAATACAGATCTCTCCCTTCAGCTCCTGCACACTGCTTTGTATGGCTCTGCATAGTAAAACAGCACACAGTTAACCCTTTGATCGCCCCACATGTTAACCCCTTCCTCCCTAGTGCCATTAGTACAGTGTCAGTGCTTTTTATTAGAACTGCTCACTGTATTGGTGTCATTGGGGATGTCAGTGACACCAAGTTAGTTCCCCCCAGTGTCAGAATGCCCAACACAGTCCCGCTATAAGTCGCTGATCACCGTCATTACTAGTACATTTATAAAAAAAAAAAAAATCAAATTTCGTCATAAATTTAGGCCAAAATGTATTCTACTACATTTTGGTCTAAATTTATGACAAAATTTGATTTTTGAAAATTTTTTTACTGGACATGTTTAATAGCAAAAAGTAAAAAATATAGGTTTTTTTTCAAAATTATCGAGTTTTTTTTTGTTTATAGTGCAAAAAATTTAAACACCGCACGGGAGATCAAATACCACTGAAAGAAAGCTCTATTTGTGGGAAAAAGGACATAAATGTCATTTGGGTGCAGCATTGCAACGCCGTATCGCAAAAATGGCCTGGTCAGGAAGAAATCCTATGGAGGGCAAGTGGTTAACAGTCTGCTAAACTTTGTGCATTAGTACTGCCTGCACCTTGAAGAAGTGGGTGCACCCTGAAAACTTGTCCTTGTATGTATGTAAGTGCAAAAAACAAGAAACGTATCATGGACAGTACTCGTTTCTGTTATGCTTTTCTGTAAAATTCAATGCAATATGGCAACCTGGAGGCATTCTCTACACATGGTTGGAATGCCCCCAGAAATGTCATTTTCTGCTTGTATGATTCAAGGATTACTCCAGAAGTCTGCACTAAGATACCTGCATCAGCTGATCAAATATAAAAAATAACTCATTCAAAATCAGTCCTACACAAGACATGATCAAAGAGCTATAGCTTTAGAACGGAAACAGGTAGGACTCTGCAACAAAGTTTGTTAAATTCCCAGCACTTACATGTAGTAACTCTTTCACCACTAGCTCCCTAATCGTTACACTGGCAGTAATGCTTTTTGATTTTGTAGCAGCCATAGCAACAGATTCTTAAAGTGGCACAGTAGGCATCCTGTGCGCCTCCCTCCCTCTGCATACAAATTTCCCCACCCCAGACACTATTATTGTCTAGGCAAAAATGGTGTCAGCAATGCTGTGGCACCTGATGATGTCACTGTAATAATGCCAACTGGGCACTCCACAAACTGGTACGAGACAGGGCAGCCATGTTGTTTGAAATTCGTAGTCAGCAGTGATTTCTTTTTTAGCAGCAGAATCTAACAACACACATCTCAGTCATCGTAAACGTTTCAAGCTTGAGGAACTAAAAACTTAGAGCCGGCCATACATATATTAAATGCCAAAAGAATTTTCTTTCGAAAATCTTTTCTAAGAATTTTTGTTCGAATTTCACACCATTAGTGGGCCACAGAAACAACAGATTTTCATGTGTCCATTGAATCTGAGTGATCACACACTTTAGAAATTCGTTCATTTTTCAAAACATTTCCAATCGATGGGAGAATTGTGTGTGAAATATAATCAAAAAAGAAACAAGCATAAGCTGTGACCTGGAAAGAAAAGAAAATTCTTGGCCACGAAAATTCTATTCCGTAGCAACATGTGAACCAAGGCTTGGATGGTTGAATTTCAAAATTAATGTTGTCACCATCAGATTACAAAACGTCCTATTTTCTAAAGAAAAATTGTTCGGAATTCAACCCATGTATGGCTGCATATATCATCACTAGTAAATAGCTGAGCTGCTGGAATGGGCAAATATACATTTCTGGCTGGCTGTTGTAAGCAAAGAATGCAAATTTAATTGTAATTCTTAACTCCTGAGCTGATAATAGTACAGCAGAATAAGGACATATTTATCTGTATCATTTAATTAGCAGCATTTTAAGCCCAAACACCACTATACTAGAATGTACTGAAGGCAAACTGGACCCATTAAACTCAAAAGAAAAATGAACCATGCACATCAATCCAGGGATGTTGAATTCACATCGCCTGACGGTAGTTTTTTTCCCACTTTTAGCCCTGCTGCGGGCAAGCAGCGGCCTCACCTGTCAGGTGGAAGCATTCAGGGGGCAGCGCTGCCACCGATTGCTTCCAAACAGTGCTAGCCCCCTCCCCCCGTGTTAGGTCTCCCGGGCTCCGATTGCCCATCTGCGGGCCCGAGACCAGATCACCGTCGTCAGCTAGAGGGGTGGGAGGAAAGCAGACACGGCCACTCCCCTCCCCTTCCCTTCTTGTCCTGACTCGGAAGTGACATTATGTCGCTTCCGGGTCCCCGTTGACAGATTCCCGGTCATGGAGGACGGGAAAGAATGTAATGCAGTGTGATGTGCACTTCATTACATTCAGTGGAGCACAGGGGAGACATTCAGGGTCTTTTAGACCTTGGATGTCTGAATAAAAAAGAACCTGTCACCAAAAATCATCACATAGGGGGCTTTGCTCTCTATGTGATGGACAAAAAAAAGTTAAAAAAAAATACTTTTTTTTTTTAATTGTAAAAAATGAAAGTTTCATCCAAGCACATAACATCCCTCCCAAAAAAGTTGAGCCCCCCCACATATACGCACAAACGTAAAAGCA